CCGCCGCAAACTAAAGACACACCTCTTCAGTTTCTACCTCGACTAAAGACTAACAAATTGTAGCACTTAAACTGTACTTGTGACGTCACTCATCTATAGCAAATTGTAAATTCGCTTATTTGAGGAAATTGCACTTTCTTGTTTCTTGTTCTCCTGAGTTTGTACCCTATGGTTGAATGCACTTATTGTACGTCGCTTTGGATAAAAGCGTCAGCTAAATGACATGTAATGTAATGTAATGAATCGATACAGGAATTAATAATAATGATGTTCAGAAATTGTAAACCCAACTTTGAAGCTAAGTTTGCCTGTAACAGCCACGTGACGTGACCTTGACCTTGGTACTGGAATCAGAGGTCGTTGTGGAGCCTCTGAGCATCGTCAGCCGGTGATTCTACTGTTAGGTGAGTCGTTCTCTCCTACCGTCTCCTCTCCAAGCGCTCTGTCCGTCAGTCAGGAGCAACCGGAAGCCTGAGCCCAAACCCCGCCCCTTCCAGTCCAGCCGGAGGAAGTAGGAGGAGTCAGGCTCTGAAGAGAGGCGGAGCTCGCGCACCGACACGTTCATCCCTGCAGACAACACAAAACCAATATCAATAATGCTGTGCTTTTACCGTTTTAATCTGTTTAAAATAAGTACCAATCTGAACATTTCCAATTTCAAATAACAATATTATAAACCATAATCCAATAACACGCGCTCCATGTTTGTCGGATTCTACTTCACAGCTCGTTTTTAACCCGTTTTCCTGAAATCCACTGGATCTATTTCCTGTTGATCAAGCGGAGGTCTGAAGGAGCGTCGTGTTGAGCCGTCCGGCAGCGTGTGGTCACAGACCCTCAGGAGAGTGGAGGCCTCCACCTCAGTGACCGTCCCTCCGCCTCACCTTCAACTCCATCCTCACAGCACCAACGAGAGCCGGCATTCAAACACACGGGAGCGCTGAGCGGAGCCTCCGGGCCACAGACCGTGTCAAAGGTCAGAGGGCTTGAATACTGTGTGACGATGAGTTCTGACTCACAGGATCAAGCTTTAAAGGGGTAATTCTTGCCAGAAGGACCTGTTGTGTTTGGTGCCACATTTCAGGGCAGAGGTGATAAACACGTTTTCCAGATGAGCTCAAAGAACAAAGCATTTAGAATAAGATGGAGCGAACATCACAGAACGTTACGTACTACTTGTACTAATGTACATTCTACTTCATGTACATTCTACTTCAGTTAGGTGATACATGCAGGGCTTGTACCACTTCCACCGTGGTAATTGTACTGCAGTAAAGGGTATGAATACTTCTGTCTCCCCCAGAAGCACACAGAGAATGTTGACAGCTAGCTAGCTTAGCTGCTCGCTTAGCTGCTAACTCTGTTTGTAAACACGCGCGGAAGCTACGCATTTCAGCACAAGCGAAGAAGACGAAGAAGAAGAGCATCGTCTCACCGGAGGCTTCACCTGCGGACGGCTCGTCTTCTCCGAGTCACCTGGTTCTCATGTGGAACAGCACAGCTGCAGCGGCGCCATTGGCTCTGACGTCATCATCAAGCGACGGAGCCGGCTGAATGGGGAGGGACACAGACGCTCGTCCGCGTTGCCGGCCAACGGAGTCGGAGCAGCAATACAGGGGTCGGGGTCAGAGGTCAGGGGTCAGGGTGCTGGTAGTCGACCTCGGATGTGACGATCATCTCAGACACCACGAGATTATAAACATCGATGCACAACAGCAATATCTATTATCATTATTATCATTATTATTATTATTAGTTGCAGTAGTATTTTGTTTCTTTCATATTATTATCATCAGTATAAATTGTTTGGTTAATTGATAAATGAAAAGACAAATCCAGTTAGAACCGTTAAAAACTGTTTTCTTTTTGAAACTCTCTGCAGTAACTGGACATGAGTGAGTTTTCAGCTGTGGTTTCCTCCCCTGCAGTGATGGAGCTGCTGGGACGTGTGTGTTTGATTAAATGTTTGATTAAATGCAGTAATTCTTTTCTGTTAATCTTGTTGTGTCTCATTGTGTCTCTTCAGACTCTACCTCAACTAAAGACTAACAAATTGTAGCACTTAAATTGTACTTGTAACGTCACTCATCTATAGCAAATTGTAAATTGGCTTATTTGAGGAAATTGCACTTTCTTGTTTCTTGTTCTCCTGAGTTTGTACCCTATGGTTGAATGCACTTATTGTACGTCGCTTTGGATAAAAGCGTCCGCTAAATGACATGTAATGTCATTTCAGGAAGGAAGTCCGTGTGAGTCTCCTACTGTGTGATGTCCTCTTGTAGATTTAAGGCTCATCTAAATAATGAATGATACCATTCGTTGTCATGGCGACGTCTCTTGTTGGTTTGTGGTTCCTCACTGAGTGAAAGGAAGTGAAGTAGTGGCTCCATGATTCTCTAATGCCAAGGAAAGGAGCCTCAATGCTTCCTTACTTAGCTCCTGTAGCAAAGGAACCACTGGAGCGTCCTTCACCAAAGAAAGTGTCCCACAATTCCTTGCGGCAGCGATATTTAAATAGCGACGTGTCATTGGTCCGTTCAGGAGACATAACGTCATGTGAGTAAGCGTAAAGTTTCCCTTTGAACCTGGTTGTGTGTCGCCGACTGAGTCACTGTAACAACACATGAAGCATCCGAGACGCAGACTGACGTCTCCGTCCATCACAAAGACGCAGCTCAGTGGAGGAGGAGTCCTAAAGCGTCCCCTGCTTCATGGTCTGTGTGACTCTACATGGACCATAAATCACTAAATGAACATCATCTGTGTTGAAGAAGACTTGAGACTGAGACCATAAACTCATGTTTACTGAGGGAATAAAGAAGAAGCATCTTCAGCACTTGAAGCTCTGAAGGACACACCGTGCTGTTTGGGTTTCATTGGACTTGGTCTTTGGCCTCTGAAGCTCGTCACCGACTCACTGAGTTAAACAGACTCTTTTTCTTCTGTGCTTATGTGAAGTAGAGTTGTTTTTGCTCCAGTGACTCTGGTTCGGTAAAAGGGAAGCCCCCCCCCCCCCCCCCCTCTCCCAGTGGGCTGTCCCCTGAAATCCAAGGGAAACTGGAGCCCGAAATCTGCACGCTGCCCGCTCACTGAGGGTGATTGGCCAATTTTCCGAAAGGTTCATCCCAAAGAATGTGTGTGTGTGTGTGTGTGTGTGTGCCTGTGCCTGTGTGTGCCCCCAACAACCGCACAAAGGCCTCTTTCACTGAGGTCTCCTGGATCCCCTTTAAGAAGAGCTGAGCGGGGGTCTCTCCTCCCCACCGGTGTCTTTTCGTTTACAACTCCGACATCCTTTGTCCTCATGGCGACCGAATCTCCCCCCACGACCACTACCAGCCGACCGTCAGACACACTCACGTCATGCTGCTGCCTGTACAGATGCAGATTGACTGTGGAAGATATCTTGCAGACGCTCCTGATCCCCCGAGGATGAATCCCAGCTGACTTCTGTGGAGCACGATATGGCCTCTGGCGTCACTATGAGAATGGAGTTGGAGTCTTTTAATGAGACTTTTACCAACACCTGGATGGGATCCATTATGTACAGAACAATCATGATTCCAAGAGTAGAACCCAAACCTAGGTTTGCCACCTTTATTTTTGCTTTAGTGTCCCCAAACAATTAGAGTTTTGGTGGTTTTGAGCGTTTAGACATGAAGAAAATCTTACAACGACATTGAAGACTGACTTCACGTAGGAGGTTGATTACTGGTTCTAACAATGTTTACTGAGGGAAACAAATCAGGAAGTAGCGTCTATGGGAGCAGAGGAGTCGCCCCCTGTTGGTCACTACAGAGGAAGTAGAGTCATTTCCTCATAGACGTCTATGGGGAGCAGAGGAGTCGCCCCCTGCTGGTCACTACAGAGAAGTAGAGTCATTTCCCTCATAGACGTCTATGGGAGCAGAGGAGTCGCCCCCTGCTGGTCACTGCACAGAATGTAGCACAGAGAGGTTGTCTCCTGACTAGAACAGGATGAATCTGGGCCCGGACCCCATTGATCCGGTCCTCGGGCAGACAGGAAGTGCTCGTTCCCCACAGCTGGAGCAGGAAGTCGTTACTCCGGTGCAGCAGATGAAAGTGAGGCGGTAATGACAGAGGACCTGAAGCCCCCGCGTGGATCTGAGAGGACCCCGTCGGGTCTAATAAGCGGCTCGGGGCCCTCGGGTGGCGCCCCAAGCCGCTGAGGATGGTTCTGCTTAAGCTGAGCTCGTAAAGACTCCGGGTCCTCGATGGAGTCACTTTCCCACGAGGCAGCGCTGAGGACGACCTCGCTGTGTGTCCCATGTCTCCTCACCTGCTCACATTTGAAAGGCTCGTTGTGTTCCGTCGCTTAAAAGCAGCGGTGATCAGCTGTTTGATTGGAATGCGCATGAGGGCAGTTAACGGCAAAACATTTAAACATTGTGTTGCTGGGAGACGGGGTCAACAGTCCGAAAAAGAGATTTAAGTTGCTAATTTAGAAGAAAAGAGAAGTTTATAAGAAGAAAACATGAAGATTCTGGAGAACAAAGCCACAGATGACACGATACTTAAAGTACTTGAAGTACACAAAGCGAAAGTACTCCTGCTGCAGAGCGGACCGTAGAAGCCGGAGGCGGTTTAATTAAACAGATTGTTTATGCAGACGTCTGGCGAGCTGATGGAGGAGGCGGAGCCTCAGTGAACCTCTAATCAAAGTAGCGAGGCCGTGATCCACGTACGTGGGAGAACTTCTGGGACCATGAACGAAACCCTCAGAGCACAGAAGCATGTGGGGAGCACGAACGTGGAAGCTTCTTTATGAACCTGCGACGTGGCGGCTGCTTGTTTGTGTCAAAGTACTAAACCCACGAGGGGGTCCAGCTTGACCCACTAGGGGATGACTGATGGGGGTTTTACCTGATGGGGGCTCATAATGAAAAGGGGTCCGAGGGTTAAAGCCAGCTGCACTAATGGAAGCAGCAGAGGAAGACGTGAGCTGGGACGGGACGGCAAAGTTTTCATCTTATAGATGCACACGCAGATTCATTTGAGCTGCTTAAGCTCTTAAATCGCCTCCATCTCACGAGGGCGGCGCTGTGCTGCCCCCTAGTGGCCGAGTGGCCGCGTCACAATATTAGAAAGCCTTTAAAATAATGAACCAATAAATCATACTTGAAAAAAATGTGTTTTATTAAACAAATCAACGCTGCCTTTTTTGAGGGGGAGGTGTTGGGGTCAGAACTTCACCACTTTGGCCTGCTTGGGGGCGGGGCTCTTGGCGGGGACGTGCACGTCCTCGTGGTCGGCGCTCATGTTGTTGGACATCCAGGGGAGGGTCAGCGCGCTTGCTGGAGGGAAGAAGGACAGTAAACCCAACTTACCGCGATGACATCACCACGGTCTGCTCACAGAGCGTTACTGGTTTTGGCGGGGGAGGGGCTTATCCCCATGGCAACCGTGATTTCCTCCATCCACCATTAAATTAATTAAAAAAATGACCTCCTAACCTCCTTAACCCACCAGCCTGTACTTTTAAATGAGTATCAACCCATAATGTCTTTAAACTCACTTGCAGCTTGGTGCTCAGGACAGTCCTTCTGGAAATGTTCCACCGAGCCACAAACCCGACAGGAGCCTCCTGCAGGAAGAGACGCGGTTCAAACACGAAAGCAAAATGATTCACACGTGCACGTCTACGGGGAATATGGACCTTGGGCGTAGAGTCCTTTCGGGTTGTCCGGGCAGCCTCGGGACAGATGTCCGGTCTGACCACAGATGAAGCACTTAGCGAACGGATGTTCCCCTGAGACAGAGAACAGTCGGTGAGCAGCCATCAAACACACGGGCCCCTCCTGCGAGTCCCCGCCGCGTCCTCACCCAGAGCCGGGTCCACTTTGGCTCGACACCTCTGGATCTCGTGCTCGGTGGAGCCGCAGCGGTAGCAGATCCCGCGGCCCATCTCTTCGTCGCGGTCCGCCTCCGGACAGTCGGCCAATCCGTGACCGGGCTTCCTGCAGTTAAAGCACAGCTGAGGGGAGAGGGAAGGAGACGAGGAGACGAGGAGAAGACATCAGAGGACAGAGTGGTTTAAGTGAAAACAGTGAATAGATCAACGGGAGGAGGAAGTAGCGTTAGCAGCATCAAAAAGCTTATCACACTACGGCATTTGAGCACAAGTTTGGATGATATTAGTGGGGTAAATATATTATTGATAAGACAAGCAAGCTGCTAGTCATTAACAAACTGACAGCTGTCTGACTGGTATTTTAACGCGTGAACAGATCTCAAAAACCATTGTTTTAAGATAGTTGCATAGATGATAACGTGAAAGAACGTTAAGCGGTCTAATGTTTCTCTTAAGAGAAGGAAGGTAGTAAGAACACACTTTCAATATTCCCGTCATTTTGCAACCCTAATACTTAATATTTTACCTCATATCGTTTTAAATCATTTTTAATCTATATCCTTGAAAGTGTCCAATGTTCAATAAGCAGATAATTCTTCAGAAGCTCTTTGGTCCTAAACGTTCCACCACTCACCATGTTGCTCCTCTTGTCGCTCTGCCTCTTCACCCTCCGGTCCTCTCTTCTCCTGTCCTTCTTCAGTGCCGTCTCCACCTCCTCCCGCAGGCCCCGCCCCCCTCCTCCGTCGCCTCGGGGCAGCGGCTGTCCGCTCTGCTGGAGGAACTCCAGGAAGCCGTTGACGTCTTCGCTGACGTAGTCCTTCTTCGGCCGGTTCGGTTTCTTCACGGCCGATCCGCTGGGGTGGGTTCCTCTCAGGTGGTCCCCGTGAGGAACACGGTGGGGGGCACCACCACCTCCTCCGCCTCCCAGATTGTCTTTCTGGGGTCCGTGTTTAGAGGCGCCTTGGTGTTGACCTCCTCCTCTCAGCTGAGTCCACGGCGTGGCCTCTGCTGGCTTGTGCTTGTGGACATTGTTGGCTCTGGCCCACCTCGTCATGACTCCACCTGCTGAAGTTTAAAAGAGATTTAAGGTGGAGTAATTCATTAAGATCCAGTGAGACACAGCTCTAACGGAAGAGCCCAGGTGGCGGCGCGGATCTCTGCCTGTCTGACTGACGTCTCTCAGTGGATCCGCTCACCATCTGAAATCACCCCGACAGACTGAACTACTCTCATCATGTGAGAAAATTCTCCTACACGGGTTAAGCAACTCCGTGTTAACGTCCACTTTGACTGCAGGAACCTCGGCGTGACATCGAGAGCCGACTCTCCCTGACTCCAACATCACTGCCAACACCATCCTGTAGATACTCGCTCCACAACATCAGGAGAACACGTCCTCTTCTCACTCAGAAGGTACTGATTCAGGCTCTGGTCGTCTCCCTCCTGGACTACTGTAACTCTCTCCTGCAGGTCTCCTGCTACCACCATTCAGCCTCTGCAGCTCATCCAGAATGCAGCAGCTCCACTGGTCTTTAACCTTCCTAAGTTCTCCCTCACTCCTCCACTCATAACGGACTTTCTTTTGGTAAATCAATGAAGTTCTATCACACCGTTGTATTAACTTATTAGTACTCAGTAAAACACGTCAAAGAACACGTAAATCATGAATGTAGCTTAAAGCGTTGAACGCTAACGAGACGGTCAGTAGTTATTGAATCTAAACTAAATAAGACAAATTTAACAGATAAAAATAACTTTGCTTTTAGCATGTTGAGCTAGCAGTTAAGCTAGCACAACACAGAGCGTTAGCTGCGTTTTCAGCGGAAGGTAACCACAAGTGCGCTTACGTTGAATTAATAACAACACAGTTCAAATAAAACGCTCCCATGAGATTTGTCTTTCAAATAACATCTTAATAACTTAAAAACAACGTTACCTTCAGAGATTTACAGCGCATGTGTTAACATTTTCCCCGGAAGTCTTTCTTTTTCTTCTTCTTTTTTGTTTACTGGCAGATCGCACCAACTTAAAGGTGCATATACCGCCACCTACTGCACTGGAGTGTGAGGCCGGTCACGGCCTCCCTTCTATATCCTGTTGTACAGCCCCGTGTTCCTGAGAAAAATAAATACTGCCTTCATTACTGCCTCCTTCCCTTTTCCACCCCCAAGCACCCCACCTAAGTCCCAGCCCCGCTTCATCTCCCTGACACTAACATACAACACCACCCTCTCCTTATCATACCTCCCACAGACAAACAGTACACGCTCAACTGTTTCCACCACCTCACATCTATCACACAAACCTGTGTCATGTTTTGCCACCACTCTCAACGTGCCATTCAACCCTGTGTGCCCATACCTTAACCTACTCCACACTACCTCTTCCCTCCTGCACCCCATCATTCCCCCAACCTCCTTCACTGACCTATTTATACCCCGGAAGTGCCTCCCTTTACCACCTTCACCCCACTGTCTCTCCCACTCCGCAATCCCTGCTTCCCGTATCAACGACTTAACCTCCCTGCGCCCTAACGACACCCTTACACCATCAGTCCTCCTTACAGCACTCTTTGCCACCATGTCAGCCACCTCATTACCCTCCACTCCAGCATGCGCAGGAACCCAGCAGAACCTCACCTCTACTCCCTGTCTCTCCAACCCCAGCAATATCCCCATCAGTTCTCCCAGTAGGTCTTCCCTGTCAGACCTACCATCCAGAACACTGCTTAACACTGCTGCTGAGTCTGAACATATCAGCACCCTACATGGTGTCACATCCTCCACCCATCTCAACCCAATGATCATAGCCACCATCTCTGCTGTATACACCGACACATTATCAGTGACTCTTTTACAGATACTCACACTGAACTCAGGCACATGCACTCCTGCACCCGCTCTACCCCCATTCACTACCTTAGCTCCATCAGTGTACACCCTTACAAAACCATAAAACCGTTTACAGACATACTTCTCCACACACACACTCACGTCCCCCTTGCCCCACTCCCTCCTCTCCTCCATCATGCCTACATCCACTCTTGGCATCGGGAACATCCACGGAGGGATGGGCCCCAATGCAATCGCTGGTCCTATCTCTATCCCCTCCAAGCCATACTCTGTCACTTTCTGCCCTATTGTCCACCCATACATCCTCAAACTACTCTTGTCCCTCTCCCAACACTCCCTAGTTGCCACAACCGCCGTGTGGCTTTCAGCACGCCCCTTCAGCCTGCCCCAATACGACAGCGCCAACTTGTCCCTCCTCAAGCTCAGTGGCAATTCCCCTGTATCCACCTGCAACACCACTACTGGAGTGGTCCTGATAGCCCCCACACACAGCCTCAGTGCTCGTGATTGCACCCTGTCCAATCCCTGTATCACCGTCTTGGCCGCAGCTCCATAAATAAAACACCCATAGTCTATCGTGGATCTTACCAGTGCCTGATACATACACAACAGTGTCCTCCTATCTGCCCCCCAGTCTACACCTGCCACAGCCCTCATCAGATTCAGCACCTTCCTGCACTTCTGTTCTATAAACTCCACATGTTTCCTCCATGTGAGCCTTCCGTCAAACCATAATCCCAAATATTTAAACTCTAACATCCCCCCCGGAAGTCTTTGGTCTTCTTCTTCTTCTTCTTCTTCTTTGTAATCACGAAACAACCCGTCAGAAATCTGCTCAGCGCCCCCCGTCGTCTGTTAAGGAGAACTACACCCACCAGACTGCTGAAGTCCTTCAACTGATGAAATATATAAATATAACTGTGGAATGTTTATACAGTATACTAACATTAAATTGACACTAAATGTACAAATAAATACCAATGTGACCTGTATCAGGATTAATGAAAACAAACAGCAATAAAAGGGAACAAATAAGTAAAGTCATAGTTTAAATATTGAAATGTTATAGATGCAGTGGTATTTACATTTAAATCTGGGTTGGATTGTAAAATGCTTGTAAGATTAGTATGATCATAGTACATCTTGGGCCACCCAAATCATCCTCAGTAAAATCCTTTTTCAACCAAAATACGTCTATTTAAATAATTTTGATATTAATAACTTGTTTAAATGGATAATCACATAAATAAAACTATAGGGATGAGAATCTTTTCTCAAATGAACTCCAGCTGTGAAGTAAATCTGGTTTAGTGAATAGTGGATGATTAGTATTCCCCTGAGCTCGTTAGAGGGGGCGGAGCTCCCAGCTGCTGTTACTTAAAGTGGAGGGTGGAGGTGGTGGAGGTTCACTCTGCTCTCTGAGAACATGCTGGGCCTGCTCCTCGCCGCGCTGCGCCTCCTGGCCGTCACCCATGGTGAGAGACCACCACTGCTTGAAACATCTGGATTAATAAAGCTAAAGTCCATCTGTCTGTTCTGTTTCAGTCGACTCCAGTCCGCTACCCGACGATCACAGAGGTACGTCGCGTCCGCTCGCCGCGGGGCGTTAACCCAGTGAGCACCTGCTCATGTGTGCATGTGTGCTCCACAGCGCCTCAGGAGGAATGGTCCGCCCACGAAGTGCATTCAATGCAGGCCGACCCTGAGACTCTAGAAGGTCAGAGGTCAATATTTGTTTTAAACGTTTTAAAGTTCCAGCGAAATCTAATTGTTTTTGTTCCAAACAGAACTGACGACGACGACGGCCTTGGTGGAGGGAGACATGGTGCTGCCAGTGAGTAATTTCCTCTCTCTATAAAGAGACCCATGTGGGGGGGGTCTCCAGTGTTTTGTGATTTCGCCCCCACAGAGCGACAGGAACGCGGTGACGAACATCTGGCCGACCACTCGGGTCCCGTACGCCATCAGCTCACAGCTGGGTAAGCGGCCCCTCGTGTGTGTGTGTGTGTGTGTGTGTGTGTGCGCGAGTGCCCGTCCCCTGCCCCCCCCTCCTGACGGTGTGCCCCCCCCCCACCTCGTTATCTTCTGCAGCTGGTCGGACGGCGGACCTCCTGGCTGCCATGGCGATGGTTTCCGAGCACACCTGCCTGTCGTTCCACAAGCGGACCGCCGAGCCCGACTACCTGCACTTCGTCATCGGCAACGGGTAACGCTGACGGTGGCGCTTCATACGAGTCCTATCTGGCTGTCATGTGACCGTTGGTCTCTTCCAGGTGTGCGTCCTACGTGGGCCGCATGGGCGGCGGGCAGAGCGTGTTTGTCGGGCCAAAGTGCACCGTGGGTAACGTGGCCCACGAGGTGCTCCACGCGCTGGGCTTCTACCACGAGCACACGAGGATGGACCGCGAGGAGCACGTCACCGTGCTGACCGACAACATCATGGAGGGTAGGGGGGCGTGTGCTAGGATGTCCCAGCTGTACGCTGATCCTTCATGCTAGTCTCCGATTGGCTGCTGCCCAGTGATGTCACACACTGCTGTCTTATGAGGTCATCGATGTGTTTCAGGGAAGGAGATAAACTTCCAGAAGCACTGGGGGAACACGTTGGGCCTGAGCTACGACGTGCTCTCCATCCTGCACTATGGAAGGTCTCTGGGGGGCGGGGCTCATTCTGAAGGCGTGCTCTTCGTCACGCTAACCTCGCTGTCTTTGTCTTAGTGACTTCTTCTCAGCCAACGGCCTCCCGACCATCGTGCCCCTCAACTCTGTGGCCGATATGGGGCAGAGGGAGAAGATGACCCCGCTGGACGTCCGCAGGGTCGTCCTCCTCTACGCCTGTGGTACTCCCAGTACTCGCAGTACTTGTACTGCCCTCTGCGGGGTACCAGTACACCGGGCCCTCACTGTTCTGTTCTCCTCTGCAGAGCTCACTAAGAACCAGGATGAGGAAGAGGACGAGGACCAGGCCGGCGACTCTTACGGGCCCATCCAGAACAGTACCAACCAGACCAGTTCTGACCGAGAGGAAGGTCACAGCTCCTCTTCCTCTCTGTCGGTGAGGCTGGACGCTGCCACTGGAGGGCAGAACCACACCGGCTCCGAGAAGAACCCTTAAAGGCTCCGTGCATCAGTATACGAAACATTTTAATGTCCACTGCTTCTATTAAAAAGTGGAAACTGATCCAAATGTCTGTCTTTGAATCAAAACGCAACGTGTCACTCAAATATTTCAATACTAAAATCTTGCAGATCAACAGTAAACTGCTTAAATATGCTGAGGCTGACGTGTAAATAAAGCTGAACATTGATATTTACAGATGACGGATTTAATTATCGTCAAAGCGGAGAAAGTGAAATTATTTAAATATCAGTTATAGGAATGTATAGTTCAGTCTGTACGCATGACATCATTGTCGTCCGTCCGTCCCGAGAGGATCCTGTTGTTCTCACTCAGGTTTCTTGAGGCTTCAGGCTTTTTTTTCTCCTTATTGAAGCGTTTTTGCGACCGGATGTCTCATTCATTCGTGATTCATTCAAATTATTTTAAGGGGAAATCCACTCTGATAGACTTAACTACACGTATCTTATGTGTACAGACTGTTCAGCCCTCTGAGGAAAACTTTCCATTTTTTTGCTATACAAAATAACACCGCTTGCTTGCTTGGATGGACTTGGACTGGTGAATAGATGGATGGATTTTATCCAAAACTGGGTTCAGTTTGTTTAGGAAATGTTCCGTAATCAGATTACACAACTGCAACTCTATTTTTATAATCTATCCTAAATTTTAAGCACAATAAAAAATGACCACTGGGATATGAAGCTCAAAATGTTCGTTTTTCGATGTTTGCTAATATGATTTTAAATATGAATTGAATATAAAAACATAGCTTAGAATCCTCTATGGAACCAGTCACTTCAATTCTAAATCAATATTACTGTATTTAAAGAATAATGCGCAGCAAAGGGAACTAAACCGGAAACAGGTGTTGAATACGTCACTGCTGGAGAACCAAAACAAGTCGCCGTCTGACATCCATGTTGTTGTTGTTGTTGTCGTCGTCGTGCCTCCCCGTTCGTCCTGTTTACCGAGTTTAAACTCTTCGCGTCGTCTCGTCTTCACGGTGAGACTTCAAATATTTGAAATGTCCGGTTATCTCAAGCTAATATGCGCTAGCTAGCTAACATGCTAACGTAACAACAGTGGCTCGACTGAAGAGCTCCGTGTTTCTGCTCGTCACAGGTCGTCCTGCGGGTCCAGCAAGAGCCGTTTGTCTACCGGCAGATCCCCGGTAACGGGAGCGAAGCAGCATGACTCAGCTGAGAGGAGTCAACAGCCTGCAGTTCAACCAGGACCAGAGTAAGCTAACGGCTAACGGGTTGAGCTAAAGCTACAGCTACAGTCTGCCTTCACGACATTCAAGAGCCTTTACGGCAGTGTACTAATATCACACATTAGAAGTACTCTGTTAGAGTACATGTACTTATACCACACGGTAGAAGTACTCTGTTAGAGTACATGTACTAATACCACATGGTAGAAGTACTCTGTTAGAGTACATGTACTTATACCACACTGTAGAAGTACTCTGTTAGAGTACATGTACTAATACCGCACTGTAGAAGTACAAATACTACACGGAAAAATCTAAAGACATGATCATATATTTTATTGTAAGACTCAAACCATTGAATGAGTTTCACATTGATTTCCTATCGATCAGCTCATTGATTTCCGGACTGAACCGTTCAGCTCAGATTAAATCTTCTTGTGTTTATTGCAACGATCTTAACTTGTAGAATAACTACAGACAAATGTAGTATTTGTCCCTGAGACGCAGTACAAGTCCAACGTGGCAATAGAAGTACTGTTTAGTAAATGTACTTCTATTCTTCTCTCAGGCTGCTTCTGCTGCGCCATGGAGACGGGGGTCCGCATCTACAACGTGGAGCCGCTGATGGAGAAAGGTCACCTGGGTGAGATGACATCGCCGGGGTCACATGGGCCTCAGAGAGTTGTGTTGCTAGGAGACGGGTGGTGAGCTGTGTGTGTGTGTGTGTGTGTGTGTGTGTGTGTGTCCAGACCACGAGCAGGTGGGCAGCGTGGCCTCATGCTCCATGCTGCACCGATCCAACCTGCTGGCCGTCGTTGGGGGCGGAGTCCACCCCAAGTTCTCCGAAATATCCGGTGAGTCACTTATTTATTTCTTATGGTTCTTATTATCGCAGCGGCCACGAGTCACATCTCAAACACATTATTTATATTGATCAGATTTATCTTAAACTGTTTTTACTTTGTTTATTTGAGTCATTTTGTGTTCTAATGTATTTCATTGTAAAGCAATTTTTTTAGGCTTAATTAAATTAGATTATTATTATTATACATTATAATTATTATTCGTTTTTAGGGCTGCAACCTACGATTATTTTGATAATCGATCGATAATCATATTTTTTCGATTAATCGGATAAAAAAACAGCATTAAAAAGCTCTAATTTCCAACCCTTTCATACTTCAGAAAGTACAGGTTGCTCTTGAACATAACAACAGGATTTGTTTTAACGTCAGAACTTGTTCTCTATAACACACTTACAGACGCACACACTCCGAAACACACACCCATGTTCAGTTGAGGCTTATTCATTAAATTAAATTATTATTATCATTGCAGAAGAAATTATTTTTACCGTCCCAGACGAGGAAGAAACTAAAAAAATAATCTAATTTAAGAAGCTGGAATGAGAGACTTTTCTTTTCTTACTTTCTTGATTGATGCAGTAAAAGTGGTAAATGGAGGCTAAATCTGATTGGCTACAAATCCAATGCTACCAAATCAGTGTGTGTCTGTGATGACACGCGGTCGAATGAATGTTTCTGACGTATTTGAACCAGGAAGTGAACTAAAAGTAGACGTGAAGTGTTTACGTCACAAACGTTGATGCTCTCTGACTTCAGTCCTGGTCTGGGACGACGCTCGGGAGTCCCGCGACCCCAAAGACAAACTGGTCCTGGAGTTCACCTTCACCAAACCCGTGCTGGCCGTGCGCATGAGACACGACAAGTGAGTCCCGTGTTGTTGTTTGTTTGTTTGTTTCATTTAAACCAACACATCTGTTGTCTCCGCTTCAGGATCATCATCGTTTTGAAGAACAGGATCTACGTGTACAGTTTCCCAGACGACCCCGTCAAGCTCTTTGAGTTCGACACCAGAGATAACCCCAAAGGTCTGGATCAGCCAGAAGCTGAAGATAAATGAATTACAACACTCCTTGAACTCATCATCTGTATCACAAAAGGCAACTCAGGCCAAGTTCAAAATCATCTCACTATACGTGTCTCATTTGTTATTTGCTCCCAAATGATGTGTTCAGGTGTAATCCGCGAAATGTAGTTTAGGTTTTCACATGAATGCAGAATAGATGATACAGATGAATTATGATCGGGTTAACTTTATAACACAAGCACACGTAAGCACTTTATTATCCAGGTTCAAGCCTAATTCAAAACCAATATTTAAAGAATTTCCTCATCTCTTAAAATCACGTGATAGTCCTGTTTTCAGTCATGTACCCTTTGACCCTTGACCCTTTGTGGTCCCCAGGTCTGTGTGATCTGTGTCCCAGTTTGGAGAAGCAGCTGCTGGTGTTCCCGGGTCACAAGTGCGGCAGCCTGCAGCTGGTCGTAAGTCCAGACAAACACGCAGGAACCCCCTCACATGGTCACAGCTAACGCTAAGCTAACGCTAAGCTAATCCTTAGGACCTGACCAACACCAAACCCGGCACCTCGTCGGCGCCGTTCACCATCAACGCCCACCAGAGCGAGATCGCCTGCGTGGCGCTGAACCAGCCGGGCAGCGTGGCGGCGTCGGCCTCCCGCAAGGGGACGCTCATCCGCCTCTTTGACACCACCACCAGGGACAAGCTGGTGGAGCTACGACGGGGGACGGACCCCGCCACCCTCTACTGGTATGCACCATGGGGGGTCACAGGGTCCGACTGCTCCACGCCGTTTATAACCAGTGAAACAAGAACTGTACAACAGCTTCTCAGTCTTCTGTTGGACCAGAGGAGTCGCCCCCTGGGGGTCAGGAGAGAGAACGCAGGTTGAAAATGTCTGAAGAAGAAATAGCAGGAAACACAGCAGCTGTTTGCAGTGAAATAGGAAGATGTGTTTGTGTTTGTCGTTTTCAGCATCAACTTCAGCCACGACTCCTCCTTCCTGTGCGCCTCCAGCGACAAGGGAACCGTGCACATCTTTGCCCTCAAAGACACCAAACTCAACCGCCGCTCCGCGTAAGACCGGCTCTTTAATAAGGGACCAGTGCAGCGTCCTGTCCCAGCGACGGTTGTCTTGGTAACCACTTTTCGCCCCTCCACCAGGCTGGCCCGGGTGGGGAAGGTGGGCCCTGTGATCGGTCAGTACGTGGACAGCCAGTGGTCGCTGGCCAGCTTCACCGTGCCGGCCGAGTGCGCCTGCATCTGCGCCTTCGGGAAGAACACGTCCAAGAACGTCAACAGCGTCATCGGTGACGTCACGTTACGATTATGAGCATGAACACATGGTGGATATTTGAATCTGAAGAGTGGAACCGGATCATACTGGCTTAACTGGGGCAATAACTGGTTTGACACTCAACAACTGGTTAAATACTTTAATCACTGGTTTAATGCTTAATAACTGGTTTAATACTTTAATCACTGGTTTAATAGTTTATTAACTGGTTTAGTACTTTAATCACTGGTTTAATAGTTTATTAACTGGTTTAATACTTTAATCACGGGTTTAATGCTTAACAGCTGTTTTCTGTGCTGCAGCTATCTGTGTGGACGGGACGTTTCATAAATACGTTTTCACTCCGGATGGAAACTGCAACAGAGAAGCCTTCGATGTGTATCTGGACATTTGTGACGACGACGACTTCTGATCACAACGAGAGGAGGACGAGGAGGAAGAGGAGGAACAAGGACGAGGAGGAAGAGGAGGAACAAGGACGAGGAGGACGAATGAAAAGGACTTTGTGTTGGAGGAGACGTCTCATTATTGTGTCTCCATTGTGGACTTCATTCTGCGCGTCACCTGACGAAGACACGTTCCAATCTAACTGAACTTTGTTGATGATAAATAAATGAGTATTTACATCTCTGCTCTTTGCTTCATGTATCTTCATACAGTGATGGTGATCACATGGGTATCACGTAAGGAACCTTAAGATGAGACGATCAAACATCCACTAAACCTTCGACCACTAATGCTCTGTTCATTTCCTGTTAACTCTTCACAATAAAAGCTTTGGCCTGTGAGGCCGACCACGAAAGTCCAACCAGGAGAAAACCTCTGGTCAACGGCGAGAGGCGGAGCCTAACAGTCAGCTGGGGACGCCCCCCTAATATAAGGGGAAACACTGCACATGTATATTTAGTAACAAGAAGTCGTCATCACTTGTTTCCTCCACAAACAGCCAATGAGATTCAGAAGATGTTTGTGGCAAAGTAACGTTTTTTCTTCATTGAAACAATTTTCACAAAAACTATTTAGATATAAACATATTAATGAGTTTTATGGGATCCGTTATCTTCTGTTTGTTGTTGGAGGGATTGGTAGCAGACTGCGAGGAGAAGAAGCTTGACTACTTTATTTGCTATAATGAAATGTTAACTTATATCTCATCTCTCTGCATTATTAAACCTTGTGGTTAATGTCTTTAATACAGAACTCTGACCTTTGACCTCTTGGAGTACTGCCCATAAAATAGGAGCCGCAGCAGTGAAATACTTTAGGTGTTATTTATTGAAGGACAAAGTAGACATCAAACTTTCCAAATTCATTCCACTGACTATATTGAAGTTCAAGTGAAGGAATAAGATCTGCGCGTCAACAAGAAATCATTTGTTACGTCTGAATTTAGTGAGTCAGGAGTTTCACCTCCTCCTCAAAGATTAAACCTCTCCTCTAACGCATAGAGGTCCTGTCTTTATTCCACGTTCCTTACTTGGAGTTGCTCTCAAACAAAAACGCCCCTTGCTGGTCGAACGAGGGCATCAAGAGCATGTGGACCCAGTTCCCCGAGACAGGAACATGAGTGTAGAAGAACATCTGCTTTCATACAAAGGGGAATGAAATCTCTGGCCCCTTTACTCCAGGTTGTCTTCTCACAGCTCAAACAGCTCCAGAGGACGAAACAACAGTCCTGAATCCTGTGAGGATCTTCACAGGGCAACGGGGGGGCCGAACATCTCCATGGTCTCCATGACGAGCGCCAGGTGATCCAGGAACGATGTCACAGACACTCTGAGGATTCGAGCTTCGTCGGCACGCCACCTCCTGAAAAGAGGGAGAAGAAGTTAGAGGTCGGAGGTCAGCGGTCAGAGAACGTGAGGCGGCGTTCTTCCTCACACAGACAGCGTGCTGCCGGTCAACGCCAGATGTTTGCTGATGCCGCCTTTCCTCGGCTCGCGGTCCGGAGACAGAGAGCGCAGAGCGATGGCAGCCTCACGGGGCGACGGGAAGGGGACGTACACGGAGAGCTGAGGGGTGGAGGGGCTAAGGAGGAAGTAAGGTCAGAGCTTCAGACGTCTATGAGGAAATGACTCTACTTCTCTGTAGTGACCAGCAGGGGGCGACTCCTCTGCTCCCATAGACGTCTATGAGGAAATTACTCTACTCTCTGTAGTGACCAGCAGGGGGCGACTCCCTCTGCTCCCATAGACGTCTATGAGGAAATGACTCTACTTCTCTGTAGTGACCAGCAGGGGGCGACTCCTCTGCTCCCATAGACGTCTATGAGGAAATTACTCTACTTCTCTGTAGTGACCAGCAGGGGGCGACTCCTCTGCTCCCATAGACGTCTATGAGGAAATGACTCTACTTCTCTGTAGTGACCAGCAGGGGGCGACTCCTCTGCTCCCATAGACGTCTATGAGGAAATGACTCTACTTCTCTGTAGTGACCAGCAGGGGGCGACTCCTCTGCTCCCATAGACGTCTATGAGGAAATGACTCTACTTCTCTGTAGTGACCAGCAGGGGGCGACTCCTCTGCTCCCATAGACGTCTATGAGGAAATTACTCTACTTCTCTGTAGTGACCAGCAGGGGGCGACTCCTCTGCTCCCATAGACGTCTATGAGGAAATGACTCTACTTCTCTGTAGTGACCAGCAGGGGGCGACTCCTCTGCTCCCATAGACGTCTATGAGGAAATGACTCTACTTCTCTGTAGTGACCAGCAGGGGGCGACTCCTCTGCTCCCATAGACGTCTATGAGGAAATGACTCTACTTCTCTCCTGATTCATTTCCTAAGTAAACATTGTAAACATGAGTTTATGGTCTTCTTCAACACAGCGCAATAGAAACGAATTTATCACTAATAACTTAATTCAATTCATTTTATTTTGAAGAGCCCAAAATGGCAAACGATAAATTAGCGTTAGAGGGCTTTACGTCTGTACACATATACAGAAGATAAGTCTAGTTAATCCTACTTCACAGTGGATTCCCCCTTAAAATACATTCTGAATGAATCGCTACGAAGAAGAGAAGAGGAAAGGAAACGATGAGAGGAAAAACGAATAAGGGGAACCCACGTTACTGCGCCAAAGAGGCTAACGACACATGTAGCATTGAGCTAACAATACTGCTATCGTCCCGTTTCACATCCGTTTAGTGAGAGAAACGGGACGCGAGCACACTGTGACGTCACGCGGGTCCGGTTAGAGGATACAGCGCCAGTTGGCCCGTTTCGTGGTTTCTTTCTCCGTCTGTCGCCGCCATCGTGTTTGTTGTGTTTTTTACTAAATGACGTTTCCGGATAAGAAGATGCACTTCCGGTGAGCGGTGATGACGCGCTGCTGCCTCACAGTGGCAGGAGGTGGTACTGCGCATGTCTCATATAAGTAGGATATCTGACACGTCAATAAATACTAAATGACATGGAATATGATTAGCGAATAACATATACAAGCACAATATTTGATTATTTAGAGTAAGCTTATACATGTAAATTCCACTTCTTATAAAGATAAGAAGTGGAAGAAAGTATTCTACATTTTACTTACACAAACAAATACAAAATAAAATAAATACTTGAATCATCTCACGAAAACCTATTTTATACACTATCTATCACTAAAATAAAAGTAGAAAGTAGAAGCCCAGACTTTTATTTTTGATCGAGATTTTCAACATAACTCCTTTTATTTTGTAGGTGTGCTGTCAAACTCAGCTGCGCGTGTCTCTCTGTCTCAGTCCGTCTGATCGGATCTGCTGGTTTTGCTGGGATCAGAACCACACCGTGACGTCACGCGTCACGCGCACTTCTGAAGAGATCGTTTACTTGACGTAGTCTTTAATTTTTTAATCGCTGTCTCCGAAGATCCGAACCGAACCGGACTTGCGGACTCCCGCCGCGTTCAAGGACCCGCCGACAAAGTGAGTACGTGAACAATTTATCGGATACTGCACCAAAAACTGCATAATGTTTCTGTATATTAGAATGTTACCCCAACAACTTCACAAACATTTCACTGAATTATTAACCCTTGTACTATAAAAAAATGTTTCCATTGTTTTCACCAGAATAACGTCTGCAACACATATAACCTGTATGTATTTCTATGAATACTGTTATTATTTTCATTTATGTTATTATTGTTTCAATGACTTGATATGAGTTAAATCTTACAACTAAATATGCATACTTATATATGTATATATTAATGATTCTCTCACATCCTCATATATTGTGGACGAGTCTCTTTTCCAAATTAAGACAAAAAGGTAGAAATATTCAGTTAGAGGCAAAAAATGTGACTACAGCTGTCAGATGAATGTAAAAAGCCTGAGATTAAATACTGCAGTAAAAGTACCTCAGCAGTCCTCAAAGTGTCCGGTCCCTCCTCTGCTCTGCTCAGTACACTACCTGTACGTGTACTTGTACTCCCGTACGTGTACTTGTACATGGCGGTGCCGAGGAGCGCCGGCACCCTGCGGGACCTCCAGCTGGCTCTGCAGCTGAAGATAGAGGAGCTCCGGCAGAGAGACTCTCTGATCGATGAGCTGGAGCTGGAGCTGGACACCAAGGACGACCTCATCCGCCTGCTGCAGGTGGAGCTGGACCGGCACCGCAGAGCCTCGCAGCAGGCGGCCATCGCTGAGGAGACGGCCGGCACAGGTGAGTCCACCTGGAAGGGGTTGAGGGGCAGGACGGGAGCCAAGGAGCAAACAGACCATAAAGGAGGGGGTGCTTTAGGGCGGGGCTACATGCTGATTGACAGGTATGTGATCGCCCCTTTGTGCGCTTTGACCCTGGTGTCCTTTGTTCTGGTCTCAAAGGAGCCCCGGCGGTCCCAGATGAACCCCAACGCATCAAAAGACAAGCGATCTCCGCTGAGCCCACGGCGCTGGACCCCTCGCAGCTCACTGGTGTCACGCTCAAGAGCTACTGCAAGACCAAGGAGTGAGTCCAGGACACACACACACACACACACACACAGCCGGACTGACCTCTGTGTGTGTCGCAGGTCAAGTGAACGGATCCAGAGGGCTCTAATGGACAACGAATTCATGAAACATCTGGAACACGGGCAGGTAAGGGCTGCTTCTTAACGGACCCCCCCTCAATGTTTGAGCTTAACGCCCACCTGTCTGCTCCTGTGCTCAGATCCTCACCATCATGGACTGCATGCACCCCACCAGCCTCACCAAGGGCTGCTGCGTCATCCAGGAGGGGGACGACGGCTCCACCGTCTACGTCCTGGAGGGTGAGGCTCCTCCACACCTCCATGTCCTACCCCCATGTCCTACCCCCACCTACCCTACCCCATGTCCTACCCCCACCTACCCTACCCCCATGTCCTACCCCCTCCTATCCTCCCCCATGTCCTATCCCCACCTACCCTACCCCATGTCCTACCCCCACCTACCCTACCCCATGTCCTACCCCCACCTATCCTACCCCATGTCCTACCCCCACCTACCCTACCCCATGTCCTACCCCCTCCTATCCTCCCCCATGTCCTACCCCCACCTACCCTACCCCATGTCCTACTCCCTCCTATCCTCCCCCATGTCCTATCCCCACCTACCCTACCCCATGTCCTACCCCCACCTACCCTACCCCATGTCCTACCCCCACCTATCCTACCCCATGTCCTACCCCCACCTACCCTACCCCATGTCCTACCCCTCCTATCCTCCCCCATGTCCTACCCCCACCTACCCTACCCCATGTCCTATCCCCACCTATCCTCCCCCATGTCCTACCCCCACCTACCCTACCCCATGTCCTATCCCCACCTATCCTACCCCCATGTCCTATCCCCACCTATCCTACCCCCATGTCCTACCCCCAACTACCCTACCCCCATGTACTAACCCCACCTACCCTACTCCATGTCCTACCTGCATGTCCTACCCCATGTCCTACCCACACCTATCCTCCCCCATGTCCTACCCCCACCTACCGTACCCCATGTCCTACCCCCACCTACCCTACCCCCATGTACTAACCCCACCTACCCTACTCCATGTCCTACCCCCATGTCCTACCCTCACGTCCTACCCCACCCCATGTCCTCACCATTCATCTTGAACAGAAATATCTGTTTCAATAACAGTCAGAAGAGTGAAAACCGAAGCGTCATGAGTTAAAGCTGCAAAAATGACTCGATTTATTCCCTCAGTAAACAGTGTAAACATGAGTTTATGGTCTGATTGACGTGTCTTTCGTCAGGAAGACACAGAACCAACACAAATAAAAGGACAGGCGACGTCGGTCACATGGTCCTGACACCATCTTCACACTCAAAGACTCTTCCGCTGTGGATAGAAGGCCTTTTTTAACAGTGTGGGCTGTTCGGTTTGGACTCTTCCATTCATTACTTCAGTTCAGTGCTGTTTGAAGCGTGCTCTCTGCTCTCAGCCTCCTCATGTGGGTTTATTATATCGCTCATCGCTCAGCCACTTCAAGCTGAAGTATTGGATGTATTCCCGTGTTGTTTTCTGTTAGGACAGTACAGTTCCCCAGAGGATGAACCCTGCAGACATTTGGTGATCCTTAGAAATGTATACGCCGTGTCTTTGTCCTCCTCAGTCCAGATAGGTTCACTTCCTGTTCCCTGGTTGATGAAAACAACAATAAGATGGCTGCACCTTGATGCACCTGTTCATCTGGTTATGTGACATCTCACCTTGCTGCCGTATTAAAGCTGCTCTGCTGCGTCTCACAGAGGGAATGGTGGAGGTGACCAAACAAGGAAAGAAGCTGTGCTCCATCGGTGAGGGGAAGGTCTTCGGAGAGCTCGCCATCCTCTACAACTGCACTCGCACTGCAACAGTCACAGGTACACACAGGTTTACTACACACGGACACCATCTTCCTCCAGCTCGCTGAGCCTCGTCTCCGGCGCACAGAGCTGCTGCTCATGTGAAAGGAAGCAGCAAACGAGAGTCGATCTGAAGGTCGACACCCACGAGTCCTCCTCCCGCGTCACACGATCACATGATCACATGATCTACCTTCTCGGACGTTTTCATGCTGTATGTTATCGACTGAAACAGAAGCTTTCAGCATGATGAGCAACCTCTGCGACTCCTCACTGAGTCTAAAGGTCTCTAATGCACAGCTAGCTGTTCCTATTACTTTTTGTTTCACTGGCTGACAGGCTTCAGTGTCAGTGTGTACGCGTGTGTGTGTACGCGTGTGTACGTGCGTGTGTGTGTGTACACGTGTGTCTCTTTATTGAAGGAAGCCCTCACTGATAAAACGAAGCGTTCTCCGACGTGACCTCGTTTTATTTCTTGTCTGTTTGAGGCACAAAATGAAAATGTTTTTCACACACACACACACACACACACACACACTACACACACACACACACACACACACACACACACACACTAAACATGCTGTATCATCCGGTACTTCCTCCTAAATGACTGATGTAGGATATTTACGATGAAAATGTCTCCACTAGGAACCAATGAGAGACAGACAGGAAGTGAGACAGAGTTAAGGGTCGGACCAACATGTGGTTTATTTTAGTAAAAAATCCCCTGAATAGTAAATCCTATTTTGTGGCGTTGCCATGGTGACGTGACGTGTGGCAGCAAAGTCTCTTCATATTTACACCATTTAAAGCCTCACAGACTCTCACTCACCCACCGACCAGGTGACCTCAGGGCGTCCCCCAGGGGTCAGGGGTCAGGGGGGACGTCGGGATTGGGCCTCGGTGTTTTCATGGTATGTGGATATGAATTTGCTTTCCAATGTGGGCCAGCATTCATTTATTCTCATCATTTATTTATGTTACTATTTCCTGCCACCGTTTTCAGACCAGAGACACAATAAAACCAAATGATTCCAAACCAGAAGGGAGAGAAAAAAGAAACACACGTAAAGTGATTCCCCATTGATTGACCCAGCAGGACTCTACACACCTCATATCGCTTTATTCTGACTTTCTCTCGCCGGCTTTTGATGAATTGTGTGTTAAATCCTAACAAAGCCAATACGCATCAGTTTAAGGTGAATTAATATTCGTCTTCTTCTCTGATTTTAAAACACAATTCAAACCGCCGGCCGGCAGCGCTGACCGACATCAAGCTGTGGGCCATCGACCGGCAGGGCTTCCAGACCATCATGATGAGGACGGGTCTCATCAGACACTCCCAGTACACCGACTTCCTCCGCAGGTAACCGCTGACGCACACGCCCTCTCGCCCTCTCGCCCTCTCGCCATGCCGATGACTCACATCTCTCTCTCAGCGTTCCCTCCTTCCAGTCGCTGCCGGAGGACGTCCTCAGCAAACTGGCCGATGTTCTGGAGGAGGTGACAGTTTCATGAAATGACCTTTCTGTGATAACCCCCAGCGAGGTGTCCACGTGACCCCGTCTCCCTCCTCTCAGACTCATTACAGCGATTCGGATTACATCATCCGCCAGGGAGCCACCGGAGACACCTTCTTCATCATCAGTGACGGACAGGTGAGGAGGAAGGAAGGACGGGGAAGCAGGGGAAGAGGAAGAAGACGGTCAGGGCCTGTCGGACATTATGTGCCAACCCGCCTCCCAGAAGTCATTTCTCAAAGTAGTGGATTAGTCGACTCAGTCATGAGGGCTGAGGGGCGTTAAGGTGACCGACGGACATTAAGGATCGTCTGATGACAGATAAAGTCTAGTTTCAAGTCTTCTTCAGTACAGATGTTCATTTAGTAAATTATGGTCCGTTAAGAGTCACACAGACCATGAAGCAGGGGACACTTTAGGGCGGGGCTACACGTGATTGACAGGTCTACCAGAGACGTATAATAGTAAATAAAATGACGGTTAGTTTAAAAACCTCATGAGTGACGTAAGGATGAATACTACACTCCACGTCTCATTCGGCCCCCAAAATATATTTAGTTTGAATTATTCCGAATATTTCTGGAGACGATCGATCTGTTGTTGAAATTCAACTATCAAAAATAAAAACAGCAAACTTTTATTCTGTTGACGGGTTTCAGTCTCGCCTGTGTGAACCATACAAATATCTATATGCAACACATGAAACATGTACAATCATCCATTTCAAGCTGCGCTGCCGTTTATTAGAACAGAGCTGCTCAAATTCAGTTTGATTATAAAAAACCTCATTTTGATCAAGTCGTTTTTGTGATTTCAAACCTCTGTAGTAGTTGTACAGTGACAAACATGTGACAAACGTGTGACAAACGTGTGACAAACGTGTGACAAACGTGTGACAAACGTGTTGTGATCGGTGACGTGGTCCAGGTGAAGGTCTCCCAGCAGAGCTCACCTGGGGACGAGCAGCTGGTGGTGAAGATCCTCTCTAAAGGAGACTGGTTCGGAGAGCAGGCTCTGAAAGGGTGAGACACACGCACACGCACACGCACACGATCACACACATGCTCACACACACACACACACACACTTTATAGTATTTAGTTCTCTCATTGTAGTAAATGATCAGAGCACTTCCTGTCTCCCGTCCTCAGCGAGGACGTCCGTACCGCCAGCCTCACCGCTGTGGGAGACGTCACGTGTTTGGTCATCGACAGAGAGTGGGTGAACATCTCCGCTTCCGTCCACCTCGTCCACCTCGTCCACCCCGTCGTCCCTCAGACATTCTTTGTGCCGCAGGTCCTTCAAGCAGCTGATTGGGGATCTTGACGACGTCAACAGCAAGCAGAGTGACGGGGCCGAGGTGGAGGCCAGGTGAGGTGGAGACCAGGTGAGGAGGAGACCAGGTGAGGTGGAGACCAGGTGAGGAGGAGACCAGGTGACGAGGAGACCAGGTGAGGTGGAGACCAGGTGAGGAGGAGGCCAGGTGAGGAGGAGACCAGGTGACGAGGAGACCAGGTGAGTGTGGAGACCAGGTGAGGAGGAGGCCAGGTGAGGTGGAGACCAGTTGATGTGGGAGACCATGTGAGGTGGAGGCCAGGTGAAGTGGAGACCAGGTGAGGTGGAGACCAGGTGAGGAGGAGATCAGGTGAGGTGGAGACTAAGTGAGGTGGAGGCCAGGTGAGGAGGAGACTATGTCGAGGTGGAGACCAGGTGAGGTGGAGACTAGGTGAGAAGGAGACCGGGTGAGGTGGAGGCCAGGTGAGGTGGAGACTAGGTGAGGAGACCAGGTGAGGTGGAGGCCAGGTGAGGAGGAGACCAGGTGAGGTGGTTCTCCTAGAAGAACGTTCCTCTGAGACCGGAATGGTCACATGGTCAAGACACTTCTAACCAGTAGAGAACATTTACTCCTTCTGCTAGTTCGCACTGCAACTACTTGATAATTTAGCAATAATACTAAGACTAAATAGTATAAATATTTGCTGTAATATAAATAAATAAAAAATTTGTTGATCATTTGGATCAAGTAAACAGCTCCTGAGCTGTGAGGGGTTAGATGAACGTTTCTGATCTGCTGTTTATTGGTTTACGTATCAGAAATACTTCATATTTTCAGCATTCAGGCAGAAGCAGACTTCTTCTCCAGAGTTTCCTTGAGTGATTTTAACATCATCTGCACTCTGGGGATGGGAGGCTTCAGCCGGGTGGAGCTGGTGAGAACAGAATAAGCTCTGACACCACGATCCCCTTCAGCCTGCCCAGATTGCTTCATGCAGTCAGGTTTGTTTGGGTTCAGGTACAGCTGAAGAACGATCCGAATCCCAACCGATCCTTCGCCCTGAAGGTTCTCAAGAAACGCCACGTCAATGGACACCACCAACAGGGCCACATCCTGTCAGAGCGCCGCATCATGATGGAGGCTCACAGCCCGTTCATCATCAGGTCACTTCTTCTTCTTCTGTGTCTTCTGCTTCAAGCTGAGTGTTTTGATTTATAGAGTAAGTCAAAGCTTCAACAGTTAAATCTGCATTAAATCTGCTCTGTAGTGGACCAGCAGGGGCGACTCTCTGCTCCCATAGACGTCTATGGGGAAATGACTCTACTTCTCTGTAGTGACCAGCAGGGGGCGACTCCTCTGCTCCCATAGACGTCCTATGAGGAAATGACTCTACTTCTCTGTAGTGACCAGCAGGGGGCGACTCCTCTGCTCCCATAGACGTCTATGAGGAAATGACTCTACTTCTCTGTAGTGACCAGCAGGGGGCGACTCCTCTGCTCCCATAGACGTCTATGAGGAAATGACTCTACTTCTCTGGAGTGACCAGCAGGGGGCGACTCCTCTGCTCCCATAGACGTCTATGAGGAAATGACTCTACTTCTCTGGATTTATTCCCTCAGTAAACATTGTTAACATGAGTTTATGTCTCAGTCTCTAGTTTCAAGTCTTCTTTAATACAGATGATGTTCATTTAGTGAATTATGGTCCATTTAGAGCACATGTGCCAAAATCCAGCCCGCTGGGGAGTCTTTGCTATTAAGAATTACAGAAACGTCCCCCACGCATGCGCAGGTTGTACCGGACCTTCAGAGACTCCAAGTACCTGTACATGCTGCTGGAGGCGTGTCTTGGGGGGGAGCTGTGGACGCGGCTCAGAGACAGGTCTGTTGTCGTTTATCATCTCACAGGTCTGGCGAGTTCCTTCAACCAATGGGCTGCTCCTCCGTTTCAGGGGGTCCTTTGACGACGGAGTCACCCGCTTCTACGCAGGCTGCGTGGTCGAGGCGCTGGGCTTCCTGCACTCCAGAGGGATCATCTACCGAGACCTGAAACCCGAGAACATCATACTGGACCACCGGGGATACGCCAAGCTGGTGAGACCCGACCCGGGTCGGAGGTCCACCGAAGGAAGTGCTCACTGGGTTACCTTTCCTTCTTCATCTTCTTCTTCTTCAGGTGGACTTTGGTTTCGCCAAGAAGGTGGGTCTGGGTAAGAAGACGTGGACGTTCTGCGGGACCCCGGAGTACGTGGCCCCTGAGATCATCCTGAACAAAGGCCACGACAGCTCCGCCGACTGCTGGTCTCTGGGGATCCTGGTTTTTGAGCTGCTCAGCGGCAGGTACACCAGACCATTGCACCTCTTCACCAAATAGTACGTGGGAATCTGGACTCACGGCCGGATCAGGTGCAGAAACCACAGGGTTGATCATTGGATCAGCTTCACAGGTCCCCAGAAACCAGGAAACCACTGAGTCTAGATCTGTGAACACTATTTGACCCGGGTTCCCTCCCCCCTGCAGCCCCCCGTTCTCCGGCTCCGACCCGATGCAGACCTACAACGTCATCCTGAGGGGCATCGACATGGTCGAGTTCCCCAAGAAGATCACCAAGAGCGCCGCCAACCTCGTTAAGCGCCTCTGCAGGTTAAAGACCAGTGGAAACAGTCCGCACGTGTACAGATGTTCACTTCAAACAGATGTTTTCCTTCAAGCTGTTTGTCTCCTGCGTTTAAAATGAAATTGAAACGTCAGGTCAGCCGGTGGTGAAACCACGTCAGTAGGTCAGATACCAGAGTAAAGACAGTAGAGACAGCTGAGGGGACCCAGACGACGCGCCGTCTTCGTCACGCAGAGGAACAGCGATCACGAGGCAGCTTTGATCCAACTCAATCCGATCCCAGAGATCTTACATTTGAGGGCCATGTGCTGGTGTGGGCGGAGCCTGAGTGTGTGTCTGTCTCAGGGACAACCCTTCGGAGAGGCTGGGGAACCAGAAGAACGGAGCGAAGGACATCCAGAAGCACAAGTAAGACACGTGTCTGTCCTCCTCGCGTGCTTCTCTCGCCGGCGTCATGCAAAGCGTCTGACTTCTGCCCCTCAGGTGGTTCGAAGGCTTCAACTGGGACGGCCTCCGCCAGGGAACCGTGGCCTCGCCCTTCACCCCCACGGTGGGAGCCCCTCAGCCCTCCGTCAGGTAGCAGGTCTCCGGTCAGAGCAGTGACCTCCGTCTCTCTCACAGGTGGACGGGCCGCTGGACAACAGCAACTTCGACTACTTCCCCGAAGACGGCGAGGAGCCCCCCCCCGACGAGGAGTCCGGCTGGGACGAGGAGTTCTAACGGAGGAGACGAAAGAACCTCCTTATCTCCATCAAGTTCAGAGGAGGAGAAATCCCGAATAAAAAGAAAGTTAAGGGTTAAAAAATGACCATTTAGGAGAAAAGTATTTGGTGAATATTCTAACAAGTGATGAGTCATAAAATGAGGAGCTGGACGGTTTCAGGAAGAAATAATATACGTAATCACAATAGTCCAACAATTATGGAATATATTAATAATGTACATTTTTAATCATCTCAACGTGTAAAAAATGAATGAATAAAATCTCCAATCTTTTCAATACAGTTATAAATAATATAAACTGTCAGGATACATTATTATAAATCATAGGATGTGTGTCTGTAGTGTGTGTGTCTGTAGTGTGTGTGTGTGTGTGTGTGTGTCTGTAGTGTGTGTGCGTGTGTGTGTGTGTGTGTGTGTGTGTGTCTGTAGTGTGTGTGTCTGTAGTGTGTGTGTGTGTGTGTGTGTGTCTGTAGTGTGTGCGTGTGTGTGTGTGTGTCTGTAGTGTGTGTGTGTGTGTGTCTGTAGTGTGTGTGTGTGTGTGTAGCGTGTGTGTGTGTGTCCCCTGACTGTGAGACACTGATGAGACACTGTGGACGTGACATCACAAACACTGTCATGATGTCATAAGGAAGACGTCCTTAGTTTAACATAAAAGCTGCTTTAAGAGATGCTTGTTTTCCCACAATGCTTTGCTTTAGGAGGTGAGTGAGCGCAGGGCGGGGAGGGGGGAGATGTTTATCAGCCTGTTGACCTCTTGACCTCTGGGCCGGTTCACTGCTTCCTGTTCGTGATGGAAAGTCGTCGTCCTCGACTGACGGGTCTCCGCTGATAAGAGAGTCTCACGGCGAGCTCCTCCCCCTCCCCTCCCCCCTGAAAGTAACCACGGCGAGGTGTAGATGTAGTACTTCCCATGTGACCACGATGGGACCTGAAGCTGCTTTTAGAATAATCAAACCTGTGTATGTATTTATATCTTTTTAATTTATTATTTAATAAACAACAACAAACTCATTTCAGCAGCGTTTCTTTTCATCGTGAGCTCGTTTCTTTTTCTTCTGTCGACTTTAAATTCATCGTGACGTCGTTGCTCGGAAACGTTCCTCTCGTGGAAACTTCCACTCATGTGAGCGGCTAAATTCCCCCCATGAATAAACCATCAACACGCGCTCACACGCCGCGCTGCACTGTGATTGGTCCGTCCCACGCGGCCCCCCATATAAACCTGCAGGAGGAGCAGGAGACCAGAACCAGGACCAGCTCCTCCCCCGCAGAGACACCATGACGTCCAGCTCCTCGCTGCTGCTGCTGCTGCTGCTGCTCGCCGCCTCCGCCGCCGCCTTCCAGCTGCTGCCGGACGAGGCGGCTCCCCGCCGGGCCCGATTCTCCGCCAACAGCCCGAGTGAGTCCGATGTCTCCCGCTGTCTCCCGGTCTCTCCCGGTGTCTCCTGGTGTCTCCCGGTCTCTAACATATTGTGGCGTAATATGTAGTAGTATATGAACATATACCTAAATATAGGAGGTGAGGAGGTATATATATATATATATATATATATATACATATGGTGAAATTAGCTCCTATTAGCTAATATTGTGTATAAAATAATGCCTCAACGATGACAACATAATAACATATTTAATAACGTGTGCAGCTGATGTGGCCAGATGTTTGAACGGAGCCGTCGCTGTCGGTTGTGGATTCTTCTCTTGTCTGGAGAACTCGACCTGTGACACCGACGGGATGCACGAGATCTGTGAGCTCTTCCTCCAATCAGCTGCCACCTTCAACACGGAGGTCAGTCAGTCTGTCCCACCCGTCTGTCTCACCCGTCTGTCTCACCCGCCATCTGTCTCACTCTCTCCCTGTCCCACTGTCCCCCCCTCAGGGTAAAACCTTCGTGAAGAAGAGTCTTCACTGCATCTCTCAGGGAATCTCCTCCAAGGTTTTCCAAACCATCCGTCGCTGTAACATCTTCCAGAGGATGATCGCCGAGGTTTGTGAGACGAGCCTTCTGATTGGTCGCTGAACTCCTCCCTTCGGATTGGTCGCTGAGTTCCTGACTCTTTGTTTCATTTATGAATGGAAAGGTGCAGGAAGAGTGTTACAGCAGTCTGGACATTTGCACTGTGGCTCGAACCAACCCTGAGGCCATCGGGGAGGTGGTGCAGGTTCCAACGCATTTCCCCAACAGGTGAGCACACACCTCTCCACAGGTAATGCTAAGCTATGCTAACATTGGAGCAAGTAACGTCATATAGTCGTAAATACGGTCGCTACAATATTGTCCATACCATCAAGAGTCTGTACTTCAGACCACGGACTCTTTACAAGAATAATTTGGTTATTTGCAGCCGGTGAACAGGAAGTGACCATATGACCATATATGGACTACAGCGGACGTAGAGATGGTTTATGCGTCTCCGGCAGAGACCTGTCAGTCAGTGTGTAGCTCCGCCCTAAAGCCTCCCCTGTTCTATAAGTCGCCCCCTGGTGGTCACTACAGAGAATGCAGCTTTAACTCTGACTTCACGTTAAATAACTTTGTCTCCTGGTTCAAACATTTACAAGCACAAAAGAAACTCTAACAAATACGATGATACCAACCTTGATTTGAGATTAAGAACCTGAGATGTACTCGGTGACCCCCTTCACCTCCCGTGCTGCAGGTACTACAGCACGCTGCTGCAGGCGCTGCAGGCCTGCGACGAGGAGACGGTGGCGGCGGTGCGGACCGGCCTGGTGGCCCGGCTGGGCCCCGACATGGAGACCTTCCTCCAGCTGGTCCAGAGCAAGCCCTGCGCCGCCGGCTCCGACGCCGCCGCCTACAGCAACCCGTCCAGCTGGAGGAACATGCCGGTGTTCAACGTGCAGCCGGGCTTCAGGGGCCGGGACCCCACCCACCTGTTCGCCAGGAAGAGGTCCGTGGACCAGGTGGAGGGGGGGGGCCAGGGCGAGCAGTAGACGACTCACGCAGATCAGCTGCAGCTTTAGATGGGGATCGGGTAATAATTACTAATCTTTGTTATTCATATTTAGGGTGATTTGCTCGGGCCGACTGCCTGAGATCCTTTACAGACATTTGATTTTCACTGATTGATATCTATTTTCCTAAACAAGTTAATTTATGAGGCCGTTATATTTGAGGGGGTGGGAGGAGGTCCTGAAGGTTCCACGCTGGTCGTGGAGCATCTTCAGGTCTCCTGTTAGAGGACAAACTGCTGGTCTGAGATCACTTTATTAGTTTAAAAGTTGTATGTGATGTTTGAATGAGAAGCTGCTGTAACACATAAGACGACTTGACTGGTGAAATAAATGATGTTGTGTGATTTCGGTTTGTGTGATTTTTCTTCAAAACGTGTAAAATAAGTTTTATTATTTAATATTTATTTATTTGTATATATGCATACAAACATACACATATATTTAAATATGTAAATATATTATTTATTTAAATAAAATGGTAACAATAGAATATTTATTTCCCAAAAGAAATGTGGGAACTTGTATTTAAGTGTATTTTTCTTCCTCTAGTTGTAAAAAATACGATTATATAAAAAGCAATAAGTCTAAGGACACTTTATTTGAAAGATCAAGAATAACCTTGATCTGTATTCTTGTAGCTTGTAGAAGAACCAGGTGGCTTAAATCAATAATTTACACAAGTTAACAAGTATTTCCACTTAAAGGTGTTTCAAATAGTTTTGTTATGGTTGGTGAATTTACGGGGGGGCTGAAAACTTATAATGATGTTTTCCTTTTATTGCTTTTCTTCATTTTCTTTCGTTTTATTTTATTTTATTTATCTTTTTGAATGTGTTGTTTTACTTTACTGCTTTTCCTTTGTACAAAAGTACTTTGTGAAGAATTTATTAATTGTTACCGTGACGAAGAGAAGGCCGACAGCGAGCGTTCACACGGCCTGAAGTCCCCCGTCTCTGACACATCGGTTCAGGCTTCAAAGACCGGTACAACAAATACTTTTACTGCACAAGAGTACTTCTACTACTGATACGTTAAGTATATTGTACTGCACTATGAGTACTTTTACTAGTTATAATTCAAATACATTCTATATTTTTTTACAATAGTAGTAATGAAGTATCTTAATGTTAGAGGAAACATTTTAGTGAACAACGAGTATCTTTTCATCAGTACTGCTCGTACTTTAAGTACATGAAGCCGATAATGCTACTTTCACCTTGGTTTAATATTGAATACAGTACTTTGAAACATAGTATTTACTCCATATCCTGTTTGTTGGGACTCAACGTCTCTCGCTCGGCCATCTGTCACTAACGGACTCAGCTCCTCTTTACGGCCCATTAACGCCCATCAGGCAGGTGAACCATTTCTCGGTCAACTCAGAATCGGTCAGGAACACGTCTGCAGAGCTGAACGAAAAGAGAACTGATTCAGACATTTTATACCAGCCGGCCGCGCTTCCACTACGTTATTACTATGTTGTTACTACGTTAATACTGTGTTATTACTATATGTTACTACGTTCTTACTATGGTGTTACTACGTTAATACTACAGCGTTACTACGTTAATACTATGGTGTTACTACGTTATTACTACGCATTACATTATTATTACGTGTTACTACGTTATTACTATGGTGTTACTGCGCTATTACTACACGTTACATTATTACTTTGTGTTACTGCGTTATTACTATAGTGTCACTACATTATTACTATGGTGTTACTACGTTATTACTACGTTAATACTACGGGTTACATTATTACTTTGTGTTACTACGTTATTACTACGTGTTACTACGTTATTACTACGCGTTACATTATTATTAGGTGTTACTACGTTATTACTATGGTGTTACTGCGTTATTACTACACGTTACATTATTATGGTGTTACTACGTTATTTCTACGCCTTACATTATTACTTTGTGTTACTACGTTATTACTACGTGTTACTACGTTATTACTACGCGTTACATTATTATTACGTGTTACCACTTTATTACTATGGTGTTACTACGTTATTACTACACGTTACATTATTATGGTGTTGCTACGTTATTTCTACGCCTTACATTATTACTTTGTGTTACTACGTTATTACTATGTGTTACTACGTTATTACTACGCGTTACATTATTATTACGTGTTACCACTTTATTACTATGGTGTTACTACGTTATTACTACACGTTACATTATTATGGTGTTACTACGTTATTTCTACGCCTTACATTATTACTTTGTGTTACTACGTTATTACTACGTGTTATGTTAATGTGTGTGTGTGTGTGTGTGTGTGTGTGTGTTTGGCTTATACTCGCTAGGTAGAGGGGACTGACAGGTTGTAACTACAAAGTGAGGACATTTATGTAAAATAGGGACATTTCGAGTTGTCCTGTTGGAGGATGAAGAACCAGCGAAAAAACTCAAACACAATTTAGAAAATCTTTGTTTTTGACTGAAAAGGAGAGAAAATATGTTTTGTCAATATCATCACAACAACAGAACAAAATTCCAAAAATATTTTTAATACAGTTGTTAACTAGTTAACGTTACACATTCAACTAGAAGCGTTTCTGGCAGGCAGCAACCAGCGGGACGACAAGTGCAATGTTGAAGTGTATCATCTTTTACTGCGGAGAAATACATGTTGGTGCAAAATAAATGAATACATCTATAAATGAGTAATAACTTGTTGGTGGACAAATAAAAAGTAAAGTTTATTACACGTTTTTAGATTTAATTGTGCATTTTAATTCACTCTTCTGTTTCCCCCTTTATTACTGTCAATATTTCTCATTTAAATCCAGTTTGGTCTTCCACATAAAAGAATAGTATAGTACAATATTCCCACTGATGACACATTTCTATTATTATTGTTATTTGTATTAACATAACCAAAGCACGGATGCAATGAGCAGCACAGCAGCAGCTCTCACGTCCTCTCCGCTGGACTCTCCGTGTGGATGAGATGCTGTTTCCTGAGGCCCAACTGGGGAGTCCAGCTCCGTCCAGCTGTTCCTCACATCAGGATAAACGACAACGAAGCTTCGTCTGAGTCTCCTCGAGCCGCCGGCCTCGTCCCAGCAGAGGACACGAGATGAAGGAAAAAAAAGTCCCAGGACGCCTACGTGGAGCTACAGGAACCAGCCGAGGAGGTGGAGGTGACCGTAGAATACTGGACCAGAGGAACGGCGAGCTCCAGGTACTCCTGCAGAGACGGGACCACCGGGTTAAAAAACGCAGAGACCCTCACTGAGAAATAACCCCCTGCTGGTCACTGCAGAGAATGCAGCTAGTTAACGGGATGAAGGTATCTCCATGAAGAACCCGTTACCTGGTTGGCCATGAGAGACAGCGTGCGGTCCAGGTCTTCGACCAGCTGGAGGAACGTGGGCCTGCGAGACGGGACGGCGGCCCAGCAGTCCCTCATCATCATGTACCTGATGGAACAAAACACTCGGCCCTTCACACAGAATGTTCTACAAGCCTCTCTGAAAAAAGAGACCTGTGTGATGTCAGCACCTCACTACGTCATGAAAAGTCTAAATGAAGTATTTTAACAAGATGAGACCAATGATGACCACAAGAACAAGGCGCTACTGCTCGTATTACTACTCTTACTGTATGAGGCACTTACATCATGTGGATTGAACATGTCATTGATCATGTGATCGTTTTGATTGTTTTTACTTTTCAAAGGTCAAAGGTCAGACCATGTTACTACTTTGGACAAAACAAACCAGAACCAGAATCATGGGAAAAAAGGGAAATTATTGTTTTGGGATTTGACATTGGAAATAGTTTGAATTCAGTCTCCTCTCGATGCCTCGATTCTGTGGCTGATGAAATGGATTTAGCACAGAAGAAACATCTCAGAGGAACCAGAGAGCCTTTCTACACTCTAGTCTGACGATGCTGCGCCTCCTTCTCTGGACTCATATGAGGAGCGTGAACTCACAGCTCCTCCGTGCAGGCCGAGGGTTTCTCCATGCGGTGGCCCTCCTTCAGCAGCTTGAAGAGCTCCTCCACGGGGACCCCGGGGTACGGGGACCCGCCCAGGGTGAAGATCTCCCACAGCAGGACTCCGAAGGACCACCTGCAGCAGCACGGAGGAAGCTTTAGAGGAAGCTCGGGCACGCGATGAACAAGATGATGGTTCATTGAGTCATTGACAGCTCCTCCCCCGCAGAGACACCAAGTCATTGTTCTGCTTCCAGTTTCTCGAAGCTTTTCTCTCTTTTATAACTGGATAACTTTTCAATATTTAAAGAGGACTTCCTGGACTTCTGATGAGCTTTTAAATATTTTTTAAATTTTGTAGACAAAACAAGAAAAAGAACCAACAGATGGGGTCATAATATCTCTGTTGAGATGTGACTGATATATCAGACTCTTATTATTACGTTATCTCGACACGTTTATAGTGAAATTTTCACGTCGCTTTGATGTGTGTAGACGCGGTCAAATAAAGCTTCAGGTGCCATCCATTTCCCCGGGAGACGACCCTGAGCAGGAGGACACAAGGACATGAAGACGTGAGGATATGAGGACGTGAAGACAGGAGGACATCCACTCTTACATTGGGGGTCTTCATATAGTAGTCGATGTGGTGGACGTCTCGAGCGAGACCAAAGTCAGCGATCTTCATGACGTCGTCCTCTGTGACCAACACGTTCCTGGCTGCCAGGTCTCTGTGGATACACTGGGGGGGGGAGTCAAACGCTTGGCTTTAATGTGATCTCTTCAATGGAGACATTTTTAATAAATAACATGTTTTTGATGAAATATCACAATTACAAAAATTCTGGTTGTTGGTTTGTCACAGATGATGCGTTCAAGCGGCGTCAGAAAGAGGAAAGTCTGACAACAATGAGCGTTTTTCCAGCCTCTTTCTGTGATAAACATGTGATAAATTGTTTAGAGACAACAGGCTCACTGATGTTGGATTCAGAGGCCCACGAGGGAGTCTCTCGGGATCTCACTGACCTTCTTGGAGGCCAGGTAGGCCATCCCTCGGGCCACCTGGTACGCAGCCGACACCAGCTCCCTGACCTCCAGCCTCCCCAAGGTCGCCTGCCTCGGCCCGCTCCAGTACTCCAACCCGACCGGTCGGCGAGCCCGGAGGAACTCCCTCAGGTTCCCCTGGGAGGCGTACTCCACCACCACGTACAGGGGGCCTAACGGAGGGGGGGTCACGTTAACATCTGGACACATCGGCACCCACAGACCGCCGCTCACGGAGGACACACTCACCGCGCTGAGTGCACGCGCCCAGCAGGTTGATGATGTTCTTGTGCTTGCCGATCATCTTCATCATCTCCATCTCAGAGATCAGGTCGGACAGGTCCTTCTCCGTGGCGTCCGCTGAACGCGACAACAAGACAGCCCCGGGTCAAAGGTCAAATCATTGTGACTCTCGAGATCTGGTATGATTCATGATGAATTGAATGGTGTGGATCACCTTTCAGCATCTTCACGGCCACCTTAGAGAGACGCGTCGGTTTATTCCTGTCGAGCCCGACGGCCTCGGCCAGAACCACCTGACCGAAACAGCCTTCGCCCAGAGGCGTCCCCAGGGTCAGCCTGAGGACGCCATGCCAACAAGACATGTCAAAAACATACTAACAAGACAGAGGACATGTCAACAACATACTAACAAGACAGAGGACATGTCAACAACATACTAACAAGAGAGAGGACATGTTAACAACATGTTAACAAGACAGAGGACATATCTACAACATACTAACAAGACAGAGGACATGTCAACAACATACTAACAAGAGAGAGGACATGTCAACAACATGTTAACAAGACAGAGGACATATCTACAACATACTAACAAGACAGAGGACATGTCAACAACATACTAACAAGACAGAGGATATGTCAACAACATACTAACAAGACAGAGGATATGTCAACAACATGTTAACAAGACAGAGGACATGTCAACACCATGTTAACACGACAGAGGACATGTCAACAACATGTTAACAAGACAGAGGACATGTCAACAACATACTAACAAGACAGAGGACATGTCAACAACATACTAACAAGACAGAGGACATATCAACAACATACTAACAAGACAGAGGACATGTCAACAACATACTAAAAAGACAGAGGACATATCAACAACATACTAATAAGACAGAGGACATTTCAACAACATGTGAACAAGACAGAGGACATGTCAACAACATGTTAACAAGACAGAGGACATGTCAACAACATGTTAACAAGACAGAGGACATGTCAACAACATACTAACAAGACAGAGGACATGTCAAGTAAAACGTTTAAGGACAGAAATCAGTTTGTTTCTTATTGTTTCACGTTCTGTTGGGTGGAATAAACATCAAACGCTTTTGTACAATAAGAAGGTAAATAAGCGTACAACATGGTTTATTTTTATTTGTGTGGCCCGAGCAGCAGTTTGCCTGAAGGAACGAGGTCGAGGCCCCACAAGGAGCAGAGATTAGAAGGCGCTCTGTGGGTTCCTGAAGATTTACTGGCGACACTTTTTTAGCCCGTTGGAAAGATGTAATTTGTCATGAAGGGTGAAGCTCTGAGAGACTGCAGACAGTCAGTGAGGCAGGAGATTGAAGTGAAGACTGTAAATAACAACTTATCTATCCTCAACATAGAGACCTGTCAATCAGCATGTAGCCCCGCCCTAAAGCGTCCCCTGCTTTATGGTCTGTTTGACTCTAAATGGACCATAATTCACTAAATGAACATCATGCTGAAACTAGAGACTGAGACCATAAACTCATGTTTACAACGTTTACTGAGGGAATGAAGGAGTCATTTCCTCATAGACGTCTATGGGAGCAGAGGAGTCGCCCCCTGCTGGTCACTACAGAGAAGTAGAGTCATTTCCTCATAGACGTCTATGGGAGCAGAGAAGTCGCCCCCTGCTGGTCACTACAGAGAATGCAGCTTTAACTCGTGACGCTTGACTCCTGGGTGTAACAGAAACATGAAGCTCGGCGGTAGACTCAACCTGCAGAATGTCGTACCTGTCACGAGGAAGCTCCCAGGCGGAGTCGTAGGGGAGTTCGTACTCCGACATCCCTGTCAGGATGGTGGTCGCGCCGCTGGAGAGACGACACTGGCGCACCAAACACATCCCGGACTGGAGGGAGGACGAGGAATCCAACGACACCTGCAGGGGGAGGAGCGATTGCTTGAGATCGCAAATACCTACATTATGATAAATAGTCCAATGAATTCGACACTGAAAATCACTGTTTCTGTCAACGCAGTCCGGTGGAAGTAGACGCGTACATAACATGGAGCAAAGTGTTTGTTTACTTTGAAATGAGATGCTGTTTGGTTTCATCTCTGTGGTGAACTTCAGCGGGGAACAGGAACTGGAACCCTACCTGTCTCCTCAGCGGGATGCTCTTGGCCAACTTCTGGACCGCCAGTGGCCCGCTGAAGTCGCTCTTCTTCGGGGCGCAGCAGAGCCGGCAGACCACCGCCGTGGCCACCACGATGACGATGATGAAGAAGCCCAAGCAGTAGATGAAGATCTCCAGGTATGTCTGAGAGGGCAGCAGGGCGGGAGGCACTTCTGTGACCAGAGAGAAAGAAAGGTAGAAGGTGCCATTGGTGGAGCTCCAGGAGGAGGAGCTCCAGGAGCTACAGGAGAAGGAGCTCCAGGAAGAGGTAAGGCAATATGGCTCATTTCAACAACAAGGCAATTCAAAGTGCTCCACATAAAACCATTAAAAACATAAGACAAGGAGATTTACAAACAGTTAAGAATATTAATACATTGAAACATAGAAAAACAGACATTGAAAGGAGAAAAAAGACGTTGAAAGATTTGAAATAGAATAAAATAGTATGTATTGTAATTGAAGAATTCAGACTTCTGCAGAAATGGTCAGTTGAAGGCAGCAGCAAACAGAAACGTTGTTAATTAAGAGGAACGCAACGTACCGTCGACCACTGAGAGCCAGGCGGAGTGATGAGAGACGCCGATGGAGTTTTCCGCCATACAGGTGTACTCGCCTGAGTCGCCCGGTGTCACATTCCTCAGGGTCAGAACCTCCATCTCTTTGTCCGTTGTGTTCAAGCCCGCCGTCTGGGAAGAGAAGCGGCGTAATGTGACAGGAAGAAAAAAAACGTCAAGAAAAGAAAGACCGACCTCCAGCTGACGGCTATTATTCACTATTTGATGACATTTAAAAAAGAAAATAATCAATCAAATAATAAAAAATAAGTAGGTCACCCAAATCTACGAACATCTGGACTTTGGACAGCTAGACTGTGAACCTCTGGACTCTGGAACGTGGACCTCTGCAGGGACTTACCTTGAGGACCAGGATGTACGGGTGTCCATCCGGGGCCTCTCGGCTGCCATTGACGGTGATGTGTTTGAGCCACCGGATGTGAGGCTGCGGGTCACTGAACACGCGGCACACAAACTCCACGTTACGGCCGACCTGCGCCGTCTGGTTGGCCGGCAGACCGGCCTGCAGGATCGGCCTGTGGGGGGAGCGCTCTGCCGGGTGTTAAAATGAATAAAATGAGTTACAGGTGAACCAGCGACGCTCATTCAGCATCATCAGGGTTCGCCGTGTTATTTACAATAGCAATCCTCCCTCATTTTAAATCTGCATGATCACAAAGTTAAAGGGTATCAGTTCAGACATCACAAACAGAATCTACCCCTCAAAGACCAGGTATGGACTCGGTCTAGAGACATCCTGGCTTTGGTCTTTGCGCTGGTCTCAACTTCTCACGGTCTTGGGTTTTTCTCTGTCCAGACTCTCTGGTCTTGGTCTTTGCTTGGTCTCAAGCCCTCAAAGTCTTTGTCTTGACTTGATCTACTCTGGTCCCAGTCATGACTAGTCCTTACTTTAGGTGGTCTGCATTAAAACTGGAGATGCCCTCTGTCTTTTCCAGGTGTGTCAGTTTTATCTACATTTAGATCTTCTATGATCTTCTTACCAACTACGTCCAGCAGGTAGGTGTGCTTGAGGCTCCCATATTCATTCTCCACCACACAAGTGTAGTTCCCTTTATCCGACGGGACCACAGACTCCATTATCAGAGTCCACATGTGGTCTCTGATCTGAAAGATCCAGGAGATCATTTTAGAAAACACTCACAAATACAAGTGGTTGGACTTCTGCAGGTTTTTGAAAACTCACCTTGAAGCCACCGATCCTTTGGTCCTTCCTGAAAACCTTCCCGTTCTTGTACCAGCGCAACAAGGGAACTGGGTTTCCCGTCGCCTGGCAACGGAACTTTACCGTCTGGCTGGCGGGGACGGCGTGCAGCTTCTTCTCCATCTTCTCCGCGTTCACCCACAGAGGCGCCGACGCTGACGGGGCAAAGCATCGCCGCGTTATCAACTCAAAGACCACAGTGGGAGGAGAGAGAAGAAGAATCGAGGGTGGGAGGAGTCACCTTGGAGCTTCTCGTTGCTCGTCGACAACTCGTTGGACAGTTTGTTCTCTTCCGAAGATGACTCGTCTTCCTCCTCGTCTTCAGAAGATTTCCCCGTGTTGGCTGAAAAAAAAAGTTGAAATGCTTCATAGACTCGGGTGTTGTGTGGTCAGATTTCAGAACTTCTCTTTCTGGGTCGCCAGATGTTCCTCAGACAATCCAACGCATTCACCTCTGACCTCTGACCTCCCCTATGTTCCCATTGAAATCCCAGTAGGGAAAAACCTTTATGGGTGTTCTGGCGGAGCGTCTGTAAAATTGTTCTGATCAAAAGGAAGGGGGTTCTACCTAGAACCTTCTGTGACTTCCCCACTGCCGGAAGGGGCTATAAACCCGAGCTGGGTGCTAACGAAAACCCTATTTCTGGTTGCAAAATTGAGGCCGCACACTTTTCTGGCTGAGATCCGTGTTATACCCGATCGCTGTCGTCTTGCATCTGAAAGAGTTTGTTGAATCAAAGGTGTGGAGTCCAGACCCCTGAAGAAGCCTTTGTTTAATCAAGGGGGTATAATCCAGAACCCTGAAGAAGCCTTTGTTTAATCAAAGGGGTATAATCCAGAACCCTGAAGAAGCCTTTGTTTAATCAAAGGGGTATAATCCAGAACCCTGAAGAAGCCTTTGTTTAATCAAGGGGGTATAATCCAGAACCCTGAAGAAGCCTTTGTTTAATCAAAGGGGTATAATCCAGAACCCTGAAGAAGCCTTTGTTTAATCAAAGGGGTATAATCCAGAACCCTGAAGAAGCCTTTGTTTAATCAAGGGGGTATAATCCAGAACCCTGAAGAAGCCTTTGTTTAATCAAAGGGGTATAATCCAGAACCCTGAAGAAGCCTTTGTTTAATCAAAGGGGTATAATCCAGAACCCTGAAGAAGCCTTTGTTTAATCAAGGGGGTATAATCCAGAACCCTGAAGAAGCCTTTGTTTAATCAAAGGGGTATAATCCAGAACCCTGAAGAAGCCTTTGTTTAATCAAAGGGGTATAATCCAGAACCCTGAAGAAGCCTTTGTTTAATCAAAGGGGTATAATCCAGAACCCTGAAGAAGCCTTTGTTTAATCAAAGGGGTATAATCCAGAACCCGAAGAGCCTTGTTAAAATAACACTCTCAATGAACTATTAATCTCACAAAGAAGCCTTCGTTCACCAAGGACGGCTCAGAATCAAAGGTTCTGGGTAGGAAGAAGCCTTTGGAACCCCTTACTTCTTAGAACCGGAGACACTGGACGCAAGAATAAGACAGTGAGCAAACTGGAAATACAGATTATGACAAATGTGCAACTTGTGTGAACCACCATGAAACGGTTATAAAAAGAGCAGCGCCGGCTGGTCAGTTCCAGGGACGGAGTTCACTGCAGTTACAGGAACAATTAACTGGGTTGGTCCTCTCCGCGAGGAGGGAGGACGGAGTCCAAGCCGGCGAGGTGGGAAATTAAAAACAGACTAGTTTACGTGCTGGAAAACAACAGAATGACGTTGACTGGACTCCAGATGTTTGAAGCCACACCAACAGAAGGTAAATACATTCATATGCACAGAAACCTTGTTCTGCTGTGTGTGTGTGTGTGTGTGTCTGTGTGTGTGTGTGTGTGTGTGTGTGTGTGTGTGTGTGTGTGTGTGTGTGTGTGTGTGTGTGTGTGTGTGTGTGTGTGTGTGTGTGTGTGTGTGTGCGCGCGCAGGATACAAAGACCAGAAACCCAGAGCCAACCATCAAAACGAAATCTCTCTAACCAGTTTCAGATGTCCCGAAGCACAAAACCTTTTTCTTAGTCACAATGTCTCAGTGAGACGTTCTCTCACTGGAAACTTTGAAAAGCTTTTAGAAACACATAAAATAGACGCACACAACAAACACCCACAGCCGAACTTATTTAAAGGTACTTCTTCTGATGTGAAAGGAAGGAATGAGGCATTTTTCACTTCCCATAGTTTTTTGCATCTCTATATGTACTGCTGTGCTAACCGAGCTAGCAGTGCTAACAGAGCTAACAGAGGCACAAACAAAGGCAAAGAGTACCACCAATATACAAGTACTTCCAAAACGCTGTGGGGAACTTTTATTGTGTTTCTTAGATCAAAGAGGTCTCAAACACACCCAGCGGTGGTTTAATGAACCGTAACTGAGCTGATGGTTTAAAGTTAAGACATCACAGTGTAAATAAATAAGTAGGATCTTTCATGGTATCATCACATTATAAAACACCTAGTCAGTGTTTACATTAACAGGAGGAGGAACTGAGTTCAGGTGTAATCTGTAAAATGGAGTGAATACTTTATCCTATTTCCTACTTTTTCCTACTATCTAATCAGAGCGGGATGGGGGGGTCGGAGAAGACATTGGATCTCAGAAGCTGGATGAGGAACTATTTTGCCACTTTTTAATGTTTCTTCTGTACATTCATTTTCTGCACGCTGTTCAATCGTTTAATTGCTTTGGTCGCACCTGTATCCGTGTCCTCGGTGGCCGGTGAGGACCGGGTCTGAGGAAACTGGACCAACAGAACCAGCAGGATGCAGCAGAGCAGCAGCCGGAGGCAGCGGGGGGGCGGCATGTCGCCCTCGTGTGTTGATGCGCTTCCTGTCTGTGGACGAGAAGGATTCATTATTTAGGTTTTCACTTCAATACCGATCCTAGTGTGGGGAGAACAACCTGGAGCTGAACAAGCTCAAAACTGTGGAGATGACAGTGGACTTTAAGAAGAGCCCCCATCATTCCCCCCTCACTATACTCAACAACACTGTCTGCTGTCGAGACCTTCAGGATTCTGGGATCCACAATCTCCCAGGACCTGAAATGGGGCTCCAACAGCGACTGGAGGCCCAGCAGAGGATGCACTTCCTGCGCCAGTTCAGGTGTTCTACTTCGCCATCATCCAGTGTGTTCTCTGTTCTTCCATCACTGTGTGGTTTGGATCGGCCACCAAACAGGACCGAGCCAGACTACAACGGATTGTCTGCAGAGAGACTGCAGACAATGGTTCCAGCCTGCTATCCATCCTGGATTTGTGCACCTCCAGAGTCATGAAACGGGCTGGCATGATCACTGCGGACACCCTGGACCCAAGCTGTTCCCCCTGGTAGGCGCTACGGAGCACTGTACGGCAAAACCACCAGACACAGGATCAGCTTCTTTCCACAATTAACCAGACAGTCCATCTGCACTACTTGCACTACATATTTATATTGGACTACTACCACCTTCACATTCATATTGTACATACCAGTAAATGTTTATGCTTATTTTTTGTTTTTCTATTTTGTTGTCTTTACTGTTTTTTTCAAATTTGTTATATTTCTGTTTTTTATTTGTGTAAACATACATGGCCAATAAAGCCTATTCTGATTCTGATAAAGCAGATTCTAAATGTGGATTAATACGCTGATGGATATCTCTTTTCTATAAAACCTGTCATTCAGTTTCTCAGTTTCCATGGTGACGTCACTAAATGTCTCGTTTTGTCAGGTTCAGTTCGTCTTCATGTTTGACAAAGAAAGGAAGCAAGAAATGTGATCTTTGTAATCGTTGAAGGTCGGAGGTAGTTGCTCTGGAAAGCATTTTGTTTATTTGTTAAATTTGTCGCATTATCTCAGAACAACAAACACAGTGTTGGGAAGAAGCAAGAAGACATCAAGAAGATCCAGCAAAAGAACATGACAAATCAAGAATAGATGTTAAGGTACTTCTCCTCACGTACAAGGCACTTGCTGGTGAGGCACCGTCGTATCTTAAAGAGCTTGTAACACCTTGTTGCCCTACAAGGCAGCTGCGCTCCATAGATGCTGGTTACTTGTTGTTCCTATGGTTTTAAAAAGTAGGCTGGGGGCCAGAGCCTTCAGTTATCAAGCTCCTCTTCTGTGGAACCAGGTTCCACTTTCAGTCCGGGGGGGCAGATTCGGTCAGCTCTTTTAAAGTAAAACTTAAAACGTTCCTCTTTGGTTCTGCCTATAGTTAGGGCTGGCTCAGGTTAGTCCGGACCAGCCCTTAGTTAAGCTGCTACAGGCTTAGACTGCCGGGGGAATTCTTAGGACACACCAAGCTCCTCTCTCACGCTCTCGTTCTACCATAACTCACGTTTTATTAATGCACATGACTAATTCAGCTTCTTTCTGGGAGTTGTTTGTGCTTTCTCCCATAGATCGTAGTTCCTTCTGGACCCTGGTCCTGACACCTGCCGTGGCCCTGCTGACACCTGCTGCCATCATCATCATCGTTATTATTATTATTTTAAATATGAGTCTTGATGACCCTAAATCTTAATTATCCAACCTGTGCGTAATGAATAAACAACTAAACTAATTCAAAAACAAAACCTTTTAAATTAGCTTCCATGCTAACTTCTGGGACGAAAATCAGCATTGACAGGCTCTCTCTGCAACTGTGCATACCCCCCCGTTCCCACTAAATAGCTGTCACCATCAAACTCACACTGGCAGACTAAAACAAACACAAAGAGGATTGCAGCGAACCGCCCGACTGTCCTCAAACACATCATTTGGTCCCAAAAACACAAGACGTTCAGTTGGAGACAGAAGACACATGAGAGGACGACTACGTCCCCCACATTCCCAGAGACAACCAGATACTTTACTTCTAGTTTTGCATCTTCAAGGACTGTTGCGTGTAGAATAAAAACCCGTGGAGAAGCCGTGGAGAACATGCAGATCAGAAGACCCATCTGGGAGAAACAGAATGTGGGTGTTTTAAACCCTTTCGACATCTGGAACGTCAGAGTTCTACTTCTCAGTGACCTCAGCGAGTAAGAACTCTCCTCCCGTCACCTGCCCTCCACATTCTGCAGCTCTGCAACGTTTAACCAACTGACGGAGCGAGTCCAAGCTGGAGGAGCAACAGGAAGAGAACGTGAATCTCCAGCAGGTGATTAAATACATGAACAAGCTTCTGGATCTCAACTCTTATGGAAAAATCTGGTGAAATATGCAAATGAGGCTTTATCTTCCAAATATGTGCTCATTTTCACACATTTCCTGAACATGATTGTGAACATTTTATAAATACAGGTGCAAATGATTGTTTCATGTTGTTGACGAATCAGAGTCAAAGGCTTTCACATCATGGACGTCTCCACAGATCATCTCCACTTATCTCCATTGATAAATGTTGAGTCTGTGAATGAGTTGAGAACCTACAGACCTTATTCATTTAAAGAGTAGATATCAATAGGACACTTTTTCTTGGGCAGTAGTACTTCTTCACCTCTGGTGAGTAGGGTTTCTCACTAAACATGTGAAAAAAAGACATATAAATATAAATCGTTGTTACAAATGAATTTTTATTAGTTTTACTGCAGTAAATAATCTAGAATCTAAGTAAAGAACATTAGTAAAGTGTATTAGTATAATAGTCAAGAGCA